GACACACACACACACACACACACACACACACACACACACACACACACACACACACACACACACACACACACACAAACACAGACTAAAGGCAAAATCTGCAGGCTCTCTTTATGAGACCCGGGATATTTGCTCCTTTCAAAGCCCTCATTTACGAGACCTTGATGAGAGGCCATGCCAAGAAGAGCAGATTCTTTTTTTCAAGGTTTCCATCTCATCTCTAAGACAATCAAGCTCAAGGTCAAAGATCAAACCTGCAATTCAATTCATCACGAACGTCATAAAAATCTCTCTTTCAAAGGTTCTTGATTAGCTCCTTAGAAAGGGGCTTGAGGGATGGACCACAGTACAGGCAGAAGTTGTTGCCTTTGCCATGCGATCATTAGACAACCTTCAGGTGCCTTTTAGTAGCCTTGAAAGCTGCATTAGAGATGCATAGAAGTTGAGGGGTTTCAGTTTAACACCTTCTTATCTTCTTTGTGATTGATTAGAATGTGTGATTTGACGACAGCATTTGCAATGAGTTCTGGATACTAAGATGCTTGTGCTAAAGATCAATGGCTGGATTTGACTGTCAGAATAATGAAGATCTGCCACATACGTGCTATTATTCACAATAAGGCAACCAGAACATTTTTTAAAAGACACTAACACTGGGATAAGATGTAGTAATGACTGCCTGAGGCTGTTTTTAGGTTGTGCTGTGTCATATCCTGTCAGTGAATGAGAATAACTTATTTGGCAATGCGGTTGAAATAGTCAAGATAGTATGCTGGAACAAAAGGTCTGGTCCATAACCTTTCATGAGACGCTGCCAGGAAGAGACACAGAGATGTTACGATGGATGGAGAGAGAAGCAGTCTAAACTAAGAAAGGATTTTAAAATAGCTGCAGAATTCCAACCATACTCCTTATAGCTGCACACATAAACATAGACACAATCTTTAAGAGACAGACAGGAAAAGCAGAGCTGTAGGAAAATGGGTCAATGACACAATAACATCTTCGAAACACACGTGCTTCTTAGTAATGATTTTGTGTTATGTCTATCTATCTATCTATCTATCTATCTATATAAATGGTTTCAAAAGGATCTGAAAAGATTGAGGTTTTATATATATATATATATATATATATGTATATATATATATATATATATA